TGGCCCAATCCTCTAATTTGTCTAGGTCCCTCTGTATCCTATCCCTACCCTCCAGCGTATCTACCTCTCCTCCCAGCTTAGTGTCATCTGCAAACTTGCTGAGGGTGCAGTCCACACCATCCTCTAGATCATTAATGAAGATATTGAACAAAACCGGCCCCAGGACCGACCCTTGGATGGTTCATCTCTGAATGGATCTGTTCATCTCTGAATGAAGCAAGGTATGGTATAACAAGAGCACGTTTATTAATATTAAGCAGGTCCATGCATGTCACGTGCAAGCAAGTGGTGCTAAGACTGCTTTTCATCTACGAACTATTGTAACATTACAGTCACGGGAAAGCTCATCTGTTGGAAAAAAGAGTGTGTGCCTGAGTGAGAGACATACTGTATTACCAGGGAAATGAATAGAGATAGTTACTGCAGTTGTAAATAAATTGGCCTTCCTATGACTTATTGAAGAACAGCTAGTTCTGCAATCAGAGAGTGCTGATAATGAAGTAATGCTCTGCACCAATGGCTGTAAGAAGTCTTGGAGAGAATAAAGCCACTAAGTGAACCTACTGTCAAATCGGTCTAAGCTGCAAAGTCTGGATCAGAGCCAGATCTGAACATCCGCAAGGTTCAGGAGAAGGTTGGTTTGTTCCATCACAAGTCAGCTATGAAATTTTGATCTTTCTTGACACTGCACCGAAGTTCGGGGGCTCTTTGGACCCTAATATAATAGCAGGGGCATCTCTCCAGAGGTCCTATTCTCTCACCACAAGATACAAGCATGGCCCATTAGGTTCAAGTGGAGTTTGCTCTTTTCCCATGGTGGGGGGAGGGGGGAAGAGCATTAGGAAACTGAGTGCTTCTACAGCATGCTTCCTTCCTATTCCCACTCCCTTACTCCACAGTCTGCTGCTTTCAGACCATCACCATAAAAACAACAGGTAATCTGTGAGCATACACCTGGGGAAAGCACTTTGCATACATATTGTTACATCACGTAATATTCCTGGGGCAGGCATACTACCTGCTAAAGAGATGCATTCATTTAACTAGAATATATGTGCAGTAGCTCTAGAGGTTTCTTCCAGGCAGACTCATATATATGAAATCTGACAAGTCAGACACCTTTCTGCTTCAATCAGGAGGTGTTAAGCCTTTGTAACAAGGTGTAATCCAGTAACTGTCCTGGGAAGCTCTTGCAAACCGAGCAATTCTTAGAGCAGGCTGGTTTCATTGTGTCTTTGCAGCATTTCAGATGTTCTCATCCTCTTCAAATATTTCTGTGCTGCGGTTCTTGAAATACGTGGTTCGGGGTGAGAAATTTTTGTTTGGGAAAAAAGGGCAAAAATAAACTAATACACACCCAGGTACTTTATGCTCACACAATATTTGCTCATACCTGAGAGCAGTGTATTGTTGCAAAACTATCGCCTTAACAATTGTTCTGTTGAAAGCCTTCTTTAGCATGGCAAACTTTATCCTACTGTGCAAGTACATATTTGGCAATGTTCATAGTGTACATATTTACAGAGGACAGAGTTAAAGTTGTAACTCTTGCTTTCCTTGATCTGATTGGTTATTTGAGATACAGAAAGGGCTATTTTCTCCCCTCCCCCCCTTTAAATACAAAGAAACCCTATATTTTAGCATATCCTTTCCTTTTAATTCACTGTACAATTTTGGAAGTGACTGTGTTAGATACTGATTTGATATGTAACCATGTCTCCTTCTAGTGTCTGGTCCCAGCAGTTATAACAGCTGGCTACTTATTAGGATGACCAGACAGCAAGTGTGAAAAATCGGGATGGGGTGGGGGGTAATAGGAGCCTATATAAGAAAAAGGCCCAAAAATCAGGACTGTCCCTATAAAATCAGGACATCTGGTCACCCTACTACTTATTGCTAAAAGACATGTGGGTTCTTCTTGGTGCTCAAAGTACTGGGTTCCAGTCTCCATTAACAGCTGAAGTATCTGCATGTAATGAAACATACATGCAGTGTTCTGTTGTTTTAATAGCAGTGTTGATTTACTGGCCTGCATAAGTCAAAGTCCTTTAATTTATTAAATTTATAAACACCAGAAACAAATGATCTAGAAACAGAACAATACGTGGAAATAATAGACTCCAACCAGAGGGTCCAAGTTAAGTTCTAAGCTTGCTGGCTGGCAAACCAGGCTTACCCCTATGTGATGGGCAACCTAGGTTTTCAGTTTCACTGTTTACAAGAGCACAGATGTTCCAGCTACTAAGCAAATAGTGCACAAAGTGAGAATGAAGGAATATAAGGCCTACTACCTGAGCCCAAATCATTTTTTTGAACGGTTTGACTATGGGCCACAGGTAACATATTTCCGAGCACATGCAGTCCCAGCCTTTTGCCACGGGGCAGGGGGCAGAGTCTGGAGGTTGCAGGATACTAGATATCATTGGGGTTAAACTTGTACCACTCAAGTTGCAAATTCATCCTGAAACCTTCCACTGAGGACACAAGGGAGGTGAATTCGGCTTGCTGAGCATCCACAGGCTGCTAGCACTGTTTTGTACCTAGGGCAAATGGCCTTCAAGCACCAACTAACCAAAGACAGGAGGGGAAATACACAGTGGAGTTCTGGTGCCTCCTAACCTTCAGGTACCTGTTTCTGGTACAGCGCCGAGTTAGAATACTGCACTTTGAGATGCCTTTCCCATTTTCCCCAGCCCATCACAGCTGGCTTAGCTTAAAGGGAGATTCTGTGCATTTCACGCATGAAGGATTAGATCCAATCATCCATCCTTGCCCTAAACGGAGCAGAGCATTCAGAGCCCACCGGCACTACCAGGAGGGATTTAAGGTGCCCATAAGTGGAGCAAGAGTGGCATCTTCAGGACAGTGAGATGAACTATCGGGGACGGGAAGTTAACAGCTGGAAGGGCTCCCCCCAGAGCAGATTTCACACGTTCACTTCCTGCGGGATCAGAGGAGTACTATTAACATCACCTGTTCCTTTAGCTGGTGCTTGAAACATGTATGATCACATACAGTCTCAATTAGAAAACAAAACCAACTATACTCCACAACACCTTCAAAAGAGGAGCCTGGGAACTGAAATTCATAACGCTGTTGGACACTAAAAACCACAGACATAACAGAGATGCTGGTTGTATGGCTCATTACAACAATTTGTAACACTCCCAGCTCCCTTTGTCCTATGAATGCAGAGGTGTTAATTACCCACTTCATTTTAAGTGGTCTCCTGCAACACAGGTGGATCTCTTGTTTAATCTGGCCCACTTTGTATATAGCTGTGACACTCACCAGTTATCTTCTCCAGACCTGAAGAAGAGCTCTGTGAAGCTTGAAAGTTTGTTCCTTTCAGAAACAGAAGTTGGTCCAATAAAAGATATCACCTCACCTACCCTGGGACCCCATCCACGCTGCAAACAAATATGCTCCACAAACTCTATCACAGAGTCATTTCAAAAGGCTGAAGACAAACGATCACAATTCATTTCACACGTAGGGACAGATTGTGCAGGGTTTTTTTTCTTATGCAACCATCATCCGAGCCCATATTTAGGACCTGATCCTGAAGTTAGACACATAAACACCTTCATAGAACTGAAGGCCAGTAGGGACCATTTAGTTTCACCTCCTGTACATCACAGGCCATTAAATTTCACCCCGTTACCCCTGTACTGAGCCCAATAACTTGGGTTTGATTAAAGCAGATCTTTCATATTTCTACCTTGATGCTGGCAGAAATATTTCAAAGATGCATACAAGTATATATTATAAGGCAGTACTATGTGTTATTTAACTACAATTGAAAAACCTCAATATAACCAGGTTTTAAACTGGATTTAGACCTTCCCCTGCAATGGGGAAATACATACGCTGACTAAAAACCAAAGCAGACCCGTCTACTTGTATTGCGCAAGCTCCAAGTAGAATGGCAAAAAATGTAAACGAGCAGCATTTTAACTGATCAACTTTAGGCGCTGTACAAAATGAAGAGATGCACTCCAGGCTCTAAGAGATTCATCTAAATTCAAGGGCACCTAGTTGTAAAACAAACGATTGTGAAAAGTGGACAACGACTAAGCTTCAAGAACTCAGGAAGGGTGGGGGTTTTTTTTTAGTTGTGGTGGATTATTGCTTTGTGGAAATCAGTGTCTTGGTTCCACAATGGTGGGTGCATTAGAAATGCAGACAGAGTGGAGGGAGAAAACAAGGGAGTGGGGGCATTTCTGGTATAAACAGCAAATCGGAGGAGTTCTTTCAGGTTTAAAATCTCTTTGTGACTTGCTCCATCCCGGGCCCAGGAAGCATCCCCACAATGGCATAGGGGGATGGGTCAGGATAACATCAGCCTCTCTGAGGGGGCCAGGACAGCTGATCGTGCCCGTTGCTCTGGGAGGAAAGGCTCTGTGGGAAGGTGATGGGGCTGGTGGAGGGGGGGTGAGCACCCTATGGAAAGGGATGGT